ATTTCTTTGCTCTTAACGACATACATCAACCCCACTAATTAACTCATAAATCATGTCAATGTACTTGGAAAGTTGAAACTTCTGGTTGAGTGTTGGGGAAGTGGATTTCTATGCGCAGTCTGAGCGTTCACACACACATTTACAGCAGATAATGGCGTTTTCACTCGTCGTTGACAAGAGGTTACATTTAGTTTTGTAAGCTGTCTGTCACAATCGTGTTCGTACACTTGCAAAGCAAACTTCAAAAAGCATTTTAGGCATTGTAGAGAAGAAATGAGCAGAAATCTTTGACGATGGTGTGCAGCAGAATTACAGGGACGATCTTTAATGATCTTCCTCTTCTGCACAAAGTTAGGACTTTGAGAGAGCCCCGTCAGTCCTGGCCGATCCTAGCCAAGGAGTTCATGCCGTTTCCGTCTGGTCACAGATGCAACCTGCCAAGATGCAGGACGTATAGACTTAAGAATTTGCTTGTCCCTGCTGCCATTGGCCTTTTAAAATATCTCAAGGTGATTTTTATTTTGTATTTATTGCGTATAGTCTGTCTGATGTTTTTATAGTTACTGCTGGCTGCGTCTGCACCTTCACGAGTGGCTGGAGAGTCTGACCCTAGAGCGACCGTCTCCCTTGCACTTGCTGCAGGTGAACGTCGATACTTGTTGAGGCCGTTACTGTTTCGCCTTCCTCCTGGCTCTCTTCGCAGTGAGGTTTGTGTTTCTCATTTCCTTTCTGAATGCCTAGTTGTTGACGTTGATGTTGGCCGTCTTCATGCCCTTCTTGCAGACATCTTTGTAACGCACACTTGGCCGTACAGCCAGTTGCGCGCCTTCTGCTAGCTCGCCATATAGCAGGTCCTTGGGACGCGTCCTGGGTCCATTCTTAGTAACCCAAATAACTCAAGATGATTTTTATATTGTATTTATTGTATATTGTCTGTCTGATGTTTGCGTAGTTACTGCTGGCTGTTCAACAAATCGCCCATCAGGGATAATAAAGACACCCTTGATCATTTAATGAACAGAATACAAACTTAGCTATTATTAGATCAGCATCACCAGCAGAGGGGACAAAAGTGTAAGTTTGTGCAGCATTAGAGGAAAGGTCACGTGATCATTCAATTCAAAATGGATCTTCCTCTTGGTAGCAGGAATATACTCAGTAGATTTCACTTCTCTTCCCATTAAATTGTGGCGTTTGCTCTGGACGAGAGAAGCGGTTTCATTCGCGCACGCAAGATGGCTGCCACGCGTATCCTGCGTTCCTTTGGAGCGTAGGTTGTGCACGTCTCCAGAAATTGACGCTACGCTTCCGTGAGATGCAATTCAGCACATGAACGTGGGGGCAGCACGTCAATCTGACCGGCAGGTCAGCGGCAATCTCCCGTTCCACCCACGAGCCCAGGTGGTGGCGGCGGCATGCAGTTGGTTTGCCATTAAACTCAAAAGAAGGTCAGCAGCAGACTTTAAAAAGGACGTTGCGCAAATTCGGAGATTGTCAAGGAAGATAATCCGGTGTCAGCGAGGGATGATCTGGTCCTGATCTGCCCCCTAGTGGACGTTTAATCCTCCAGGTACACGCAAAGTACGCAGGCAAGTATGTGAACAATGCCGTTTGTGTCGCATACGCCTGTCTACGCCTGCATGTTGTTAAAAAGCAAGTATGTCGGGGGCTTTAAAGGGAGGTCAAAGAGTCTTGGATAACAGGACCATCAATATACACAACGGACTCTAGGAGTCCATCAAACATCAGACGCTGATGATGAAACTTTTTTTATTTCAGCTGTTCCCATGGTTCAGTTGAACCGAGTAAGAGGTCACCTTTGGCGCTGCAGAGGAAGCTTCTGTGTTTTAACGTGAAGCTGAATCAGCTGCGGAGGACAGGAAACTGCCAGAGACCGTGTCCTCGGCGTAAACACAGTGCTGTGGGAACTTATTAAGGAGATGCACGCTCACATTCATCCTGCAGCTGATGACTGACACGTCTTTAAAGTCAGCAGCTCTGTTGTGTACTTTATTCAGTTTGAATTGTTTTGAGCCAGAGAGACAGAAAGCCGAGGCCGTCCTCCTGACTGCGGTCTGCTTCGTTGGAGATGTTTTATTTAAACTCTGAAGGCCGGCTGTGTTCGGTCCCTTTCTCATCTTGCTGTTTTCCACCAGAGTTATCAGCACTTTGCTGTGTCCTCCAAAACTGCTCTTAGAAATAACTCGTCATCTGAAGTATCTCCCGAATACACAAGGCCAGTCAGTAAAAGGGTTTTGTCTTAAAACAAAAACATTTAAAAAAACAAATCCTTTGAACATGTGATATTCGTCCCTTTGTGTCCTTTTTCATCGAAACGTTTCTAAAACCCTACTAATGTAGAAAATGCTCTATTTTACAGTGATTCATAAATAGCATAGTTTAAAGTTTAAAGAAAATAAACATAATCTGGTACCAATTAAAAGTGAAATACTGTGGGTAGAGTTCAGTTTGGACATTCCCACTTAATTAAATCTAACTAACTGTCTTTTGTTGCGCAGCATGTCAGCTGAACATGTGACATTTGAAGTATATCAACATTTCCAATATTAAATTAAGAATGATTTAATTTTTACTTTCTTGAAATAACTTTAAAGGACTAATTAAACTCTAACAACTGTCTTAGAAATCTTTTTTGCATCTCTATTTTCACTGTAAAAAGTTTTTTTTGTTTTTTTTCCCATGAAAGTTCCCAGAAAATTGCTGACTCTGAGAAATGTTTCTAAATCTTTTTATTTTGTCAAATTAGAACAAAGACAGCTGACAGACCGCAATGTTGGATCACGTGAACTCTGAATCTTAAAGGTAACTAAATGATTCGGACGTGACAGGATGACTTCTCTGGTTGATCAAAAACAAATATTACAAATATGTAATTTATCAACTTTATTTCAATCACACTAAATTGACCCCCATAAAAACGTGGCTGCATCATGAACGTATCGGGTGGTGAACATGGCGTTTGTTGGGGGGGAGAATGTGTTCAAGATTAATGATGAAAGGCTGCGAGAAACCAGATGAAACTTGTTCACTCAGCTTTAAGTTTCCCTCTCACTGCTGTTTTCTCTCGGCGGCGGCCTCTGGTCTGGTTTCCTTCAGGCTTCTGTCTAATTAAAGTGGGATTAATGAATCGCATTGTAAAACAAAGGCAGACCTCCCGCTCGTACCAGACTCGGCTCGCCGAGGGAGGCCAGCTCAGACAGAGACGGACTGGCGGTGGGAGGGTTTAGAAGTCTGTTTGGGATTTTCCCCTTTTCAGGTTTTCCATGTTACAAATGTGACACTTATTGATCCCCCTCTTTCAGTTCAGCCTCATTAGACTGAAACAGTTTAGGATCATTTGATCTCACGACTCCCAGCCTGAAGACACAGAGACTGTACTTCATTACATTTTCACTAGATGCAAACTGAACTGTATCAACTGGTCATTTAGACTTTATTGTCCCCGAGAGGAAATTCATTTTCACAGCACTGTACACATCGGACACCACCGGCACACAGTCACAACATCCAGGAACAACAGTACGCTCTCAGGCCGGCTCAGCGAGGCCTGTTATTTATGGCTGCGGGGTTCAGGCTTTTCCCAAAGCCGGCCCTCCTGCACCTCAGTGCTCTGTACCTGCGCTCCTACAGCAGCAGGGCAAGAGAGTGATTGAGTGGGTGTGTGATGTCCTGTGCTACTGAGGACTTATTGCTTAATTGTGCTAGGTTGGGTCTTGGCGGTGGTGTCGCTTAAAGTTTGGCCTGGTTAGCAGTTGAAACACTACAATGCAAAATTGGCATGAATGTAAAACAAGATTGCCAAAGTCACAAATAAATAACTAACAAAAGAACAATTCATTTTATACAGTTCATTAAATAAAAAAGTGTTTGTACGTTAAAAAAACTACAATATTAATAATTTAAAAAACAAAATATTAAAAAATAAAGTAAATTCAACAGTAAAATTGTTTGTTTTAAAATATATGTATATATATATATAGTGTGTGTGTGTGTGTGTGTGTGTGTATTAATAGATAAAATAAACAACTATACAATCAGTATCAAATGTGAAGTTTAAAAAAAATAATAATAAAGGAACAATTAATAAAACAATGAAAAAACTTTGACTTTATATTTTACGCAATCAGATCAAAAACTCCCTCGAGTGGACAAAAAACAAAGTTGTTTTTATTATTGTCCCTTTACATGGCGATGAAAGCATAGACATAGCTACCGTGATGTCACTCTTTGGTCTGTGGACTACTGTTTCGATGCCTCGAGTTTGGCATTTTGGCCGTCGTCATCTTGGGTTTTTGGAAGCAGATCTGACCATTTTTGGATGAGAGGGTGGAGCTAGCTAGCTTGGTTAGCAAGGTGCAGCCGTAATCCTCGTTTAAAAGTGATATTATCTTGTCTAGCCGACTCCTTGGAGTGTATTTTAGTAAAACCGAACCCTGAACAAGACATTTTTAGGTAACTAAAATGTTCCAATTAACATTCATGGACTGTGAAAAGGGACCTGACACCGACCACACCCCCAAAACAAGTTCATGGTTAGTTACAGTGTGGTGGATACGATTCATCTCGATCCTGATTGACAGGTTGGAGTGGTAGTGACTTGTCAATGAGCTTGTAGCCCCGCCCTAAAGCCCCCCCTGCTTCCTGGTCTCTGTTCCTCTAAATGGGACCATAATTTACTAAATGAACATCATGCTGTGTTGAAGAAGACTTGAAACTAGCGACTGAGACCAGAAACTCATCAGGAAAGTGTTTACTGAGGGAATAAATCAGCTGACAAGTAGAAACATTTTCTTTCTGCAGCCGCTGGAGTCGCCCCCTGCTGGCTGCTGGAGAGGACGCAGGTTTAAGGCTTCACTTTTCAGACGTTCGTGTTCAATTAAAGCTGCATTGATACATTTTTGGCAGGAGAAAAAAAAACAAAAACTTTTAGGACGATATTTTTGGATATTTGTGCAGTGATTTTAGTTGTCAGGTCTTTTGACTCTTTATCCCTTTGTCTTCAGATGAAAGGATGCTGCAGGGAACCGACGAAGGACTGAGCCCTACCTGAACACCCCTCCTCCCCCCGACCCTCAGAGCCCTCAGCGCCGCCATCCCATCATGAACCTGCTGTGCCGCGGACGCCTGAAGCTGCTGGTGGCGTCTCTCACGGCCATCGTCCTGCTCACCTGGCTCTACCTGCTGGCTGGAAACTTGGAGAGTGAGTACGAGCACATTTAAAGATATACCTGCGTATTAACGTGGAAATTGACCCAAATTGAGTTCTGCCAGGCATTTTCTCATTACTCAGTACAATCCGAGAATCCTCACTGTAATTTTCATGGAGACTGGCTTTGAAAAGCTGATTTATAATGAAAGAGTGGAGCTGTGGTTTGGGGAATCCAACCAGCGAGAACAGAAAACATCAATTATGAAACATTTTTTCTTTTTCTTTTTTTTTGCAACTCAGCTCAATTTCTCTTCGATCCGACTATTAAGTTCAATTTTTAAACACGGACTTTATTTTCTGTTCGGTTTGATTTTTCATTTCGACATCCCAATGAGCCACCAAGGCCGCATCAGCGAGCCGCAGTCAGCGCTTTTGTTGGATCACAGCAGCCGAGGTCAATTCAGAGAATGCTGCCGAGCTGTTTCCTGGAAAAGCGTTTTATAACACACAGATTGATACAGGCCGGTCGGAAAGTCACAGGCACAGCAGCCTGAGCTCAGTTTACAAGTACTGTACTGGTTACAAGTTGCTTTTGTCTTATTATTGGTCAAGATCCTTCGGCGTCGCTTTTTAATGTCCTGAGTACACGTAAGGTTCGTGCAGACTACACGGCTGTCAGTGTTGACGGGAGTCTTGAAGTCGTACACGAGCTGACAGCGGCTGTGTCACCCAACGCTGGTCTCCAAACCACGTTTAGTCAAGCAAACCTGTGAAACAGGAAATGACGCAACACATGAAACAGCTGTTGTTTGTTATTATACAGAAACATTCTAAATACAAAGGATATTTGCATGCTAGATATCTGGCTGGCGTCAGCATTTTGATGCGTCGCTGAGTAGTTCACACACGACTGGCGGCCGCCGATCGATCGCCGATTTACCCCTGATCACAGCCTGACGGTCGCCGAGCGGCTAATCTGGCAAAAAACTTGTGTATTGTGAGCTAGGCTTTAACCGTCGCTTCTGCACATGAAGGGCTCAGCGGTCAAGTTGGCAATAATAACTATGCAACATCCGGTTATTTCAAAATAAAACTAGTGGTTAACGTTGTGAAAGATCAGGCTTTGGGTTAAAATAAGTCAGGTAACCGTAACGTCACTGATAACGATCAATGTTGACTTTTGGTTTCACGCGGGAAACAAACGCTGGTCTCCTGGATGAAAGTCCGGTTTTTGACCCACCTCCTCACTCTGACTTTTCTGTTATTGACATAGCAATCCTACTTTTAGCTGTCATGCACTAAAGGGCTTCCTAATGCTTTGCAAGCCGACGCCAAGGGGTCTTGACCGCGTGTCCGTATGTGACGACTCGGGAGTGAGAACGGGTTTCACGGCAACTCTTGACCACATTGTCATGAAACGCGGGTGTTCCTGCCGGCAGAGCACCTAAGCATAGCTGAGAGCGTCTGTGGTTTTAACATCATCAAATGCTGAGATTGAAAGCTCAGTCGTGACCTCCGGAAACGGCAGTTAGCGAAACCGGAACTGTAGATGTTCAAATCTCCATTTTTCTGTTCAGGACTTCTCGTCAATGTTGACTTAAAAGTTGAGACTGAAAGCGATTGTTTGTACTTTAAGCCTCATGTCTCTGCCTTCCTACAGTATGTCCATTGCAAACGCAGGACGGACCACAACGCTGTGATCGGCTCCGTTTCCATAACATTTGAAGGGGATTTCTGAAATTGCGGCAAAATAAACTATGAAGCGCGTGGTTCCATCTGCCATCCCTGTGTGAACACATTCTGCTGTACGTGACCAGGCGAAATTAATATTTAAGCGGCTGTGATTCTGAAACATTATCACCTAAAATGGATTTGTGTCTTATTAATGCATGAATTCTCCTGATCCATGTGCACCCTGTGGTGGTTTTATTGATTTCCGTGGTGACGGAGACTGATGTGCAACAAGGGCGCCGACTCCAACCTAAGACGTAACGGTTAAACACGCACACACATGACCCCCTACTCTTGTTTATTCTCTCTTTTGGGGCTTACCGGTGGAGTGCAGGCATCTTTAAGGCGAGCAGAAGAACACTTCTCATGCTGTGGCGTAACAGTCAGTAAATAAACTTGCGAGGTTAACTGTCAGGTCCTGAAATATACGATAATTATCTCCTAATTGCCATCCCACTAGTGACGACATCATGTCGTAGCCCTTCCATCACACTGGAGTCCCGTCTGTCGTGCCCTGCAGGAGTTTTCTTAAAGAGTGGATTCTTCAAATGTTTGAATTTAAAGGCCCAGTAATCACACTTACTTGTTGTGGTGGAGCACAGCGTGACTTAAGGCTGCGTATGTTCTTCTGAGATATCGCACAAACACTAACGCAGTTTCTGGTAAGTACAGTACACTTTGAGGGACTCGTGGTGGGAAACCTCTCTCGCTCTCTCTCTCGCTCTAACGTGGATGGCCGCTGAGTCGACACGCTGCATGGATCTGTGGTGGAGTGAGCTTTAGGAGAACATCTGAGCAGCAACACTTCAGAAATAACCAGCGTCGTCTGACTGCAGATCAGATTTTGGTGGCCTCAGCTCTAGTTTCCTCGACTCCTCGTCTCTCTCGCTCTCTGTCTCGCTCTCCCTTCAGAGTTGCTTTTTTGTCCTGGACTGTAGTCAATCCAGTTTTGCCGAAGCAGGTTTTACAGTTTCTAATAGTATAATTGTAGTAAATTATACTATTCAGAATGTGAAAAAACACTATTAATTACACACACTGTAACAAAGGTAACGACATTTACACAAGCACAATTCTGAAGTACTTAAACCTTGAATATTTTAATGCTGCTTCTACTTCACTACATAACAGAAGGAAATATTTTACTTTTCTCTCCACTACGTTCATCTGACAGCTAATCTAAAGTTATCTATAAGATTAATCTTTTCTGTTAATGCATCTGTAACAGTAATCAATATAAAAACACACATTCTCCAGTTTAATAGGTGCTTTTATACTTTTTGTTTTCTACTTTGTCCACTGTCCGATTACACAAATGATAAAAAGCATCTACTACCTTCCTACTTCCTTCCTCGTCGCTGTCGTTTCCTTTTGCTCTCAGAAGAGGGTGTGAACATTCCCAGCATGCCTCACTTCAGCTGTGGGCCAGCTGCTGCTCCCAAGGGGTTAGAGGGAGAACAAGAGAGGAGAAGGTGAGGAAAGGGGAGATCAGGGGTGAGAAGAAAGAGATGGTGAACGACAGAGAGAGAAGGAAAGTAAGAAGACGAGGTGAGGGGGAAAGAGGAGATGGAGGGAGGAGGAGTGTAAGTGTGGGGAAAAAATACAATGAGCAATGATTAGAGGAGGAGGAGGAGAGTCTGGAGGAGGAGGAGGAGAGTCTGGGAGGAGGAGGAGGAGGAAGGAGGAGTGTAAGTGTGTGGAAAAAAATACAATGAGCAATGATTAGAGGAGGAGGAGGAGGAGAGTCTGGGAGGAGGAGGAGAGTCTGGGAGGAGGAGGAGAGTCTGGGAGGAGGAGGAGGAGGAGGAGGAGGAGGAGAGTCTGGGAGGAGGAAGGAGGAGTGTAAGGATATGGAGAAAATACAATGAGCAATGATTAGAGGAGGAGGAGGAGAGTCTGGGAAGAGGAGGAGGAGGAGGAGGAGGAGGAGAGTGGGAGGAGGAGGAGGAGGAGGAGGAGGAGGAGAGTCTGGGAGGAGGAGGTGAGGAAAGGGGAGATCAGGGTGAGAAGAAAGAGATGGTGAACGACAGAGAGAGAAGGAAAGTAAGAAGACGAGGTGAGGGGGGAAAGAGGAGATGGAGGAAGGAGGAGTGTAAGTGTGTGGAAAAAATACAATGAGCAATGATTAGAGGAGGAGGAGGAGAGCCTGGGGGGGGAGGAGGAGGAGGAGAGCCTGGGGGGAGGAGGAGGAGGAGAGCCTGGGGGGAGGAGGAGGAGGAGAGGAGAGCCTGGGGGGAGGAGGAGGAGGAGAGTCTGGGGGGAGGGGGAGGAGGAGGAGAGAGTCTGGGGAGAGGAGGAGGAGGAGGAGGAGAGTCTGGGAGGAGGAGGAGGAGAAGAGTCTGGGAGGAGTGTAGTGTGTGGAAAAAATACAATGAGCAATGATTAGAGGAGGAGGAGGAGAGCCTGGGGGAGGAGGAGGAGGAGGAGAGCCTGGGGGAGGAGGAGGAGGAGGAGAGCCTGGGGGGAGGAGGAGGAGGAGGAGAGCTGGGGGGAGGAGGAGAGTCTGGGGGGAGGGGGAGGAGGAGGAGGAGAGTCTGGGGGAGGAGGAGGAGGAGGAGGAGGAGGAGGAGGAGGAGGAGGAGAAGAGTCTGGGAGGAGTGTAAGGATAGGGAAAAAATACAATGAGCAATGATTAGAGGAGGAGGAGAGTCTGGGGGGAGGAGGAGGAGGAGGAGAGCCTGGGGGGAGGAGGAGGAGGAGGAGAGCCTGGGGGGAGGGGGAGGAGGAGGAGGAGAGTCTGGGGGGAGGAGGAGGAGGAGGAGGAGGAGGAGGAGACCAGAAACACAGCGGGATGGATGAAGAGAGAGTTGGAGGCTAACTGTAGTTATTAGCAAACAAAAGAGGAAATTGTTGGACTATTTTCTGCGGCGGATGAATCCACAACGTGGTGCTCCACATACATGCAAAGTAGTCGCTTTTCGGTGAAAATAGCATGTGTGATTCACGTGAATCGTGTAGATCTGACATGCAGAAATGATTCTCAGGTCATATGAAGGGGGTTGCCATTATAAGGTTTAGGCGGTGAGGCCCAGAGTGGCCGGGTGTTGTGCCATAAACACGTCGTCCTGTTTGTCCCCTCTGAGTTTGCATGTACAGATCTAGTGTGTGTGAGTTCATGGTGATGAAGGAACATGTGAGCCAGCGCAGCAGCGAGGCTCACTGATGGTTTAATAGATTCTGGACCACAATGGAGCTCAGACAGAAGGCACATCAGGCTGAGAGAAGTCTAGAATATTACCAGACGTATACTTTATCGAGAGAGGGAGAGGGATGCATTAAACTCCTGGCAGATCTAAATATTGTAAAATAAAAATTCACAG